GGAAAATAAATATTCATTCATCTCTCCCAACTACCTACACCGTGGGTTCTGATAAATGCCTGCCGGAAAACAAATACTTTCCAGGCTAATACGACGCTGGACATTGAATTATAACTGACAGACATTCATGCACGATACCTCACACAGGTTAGCAGATATTTCTAGTTCATCCAGCAGCAGGACCATGCTGAAATTATTCGAGTAGATCATTTCTGTAGACCTTGCGAAGACATTCGATACCGTGAAACACACGTTATTACCTGCAACACTGGAAAACATTGGAATAAGAAACAATTGCCTAAAACTCTTTGAAAGATAATTCCAAAATCGAATGCAATATGTCAAAATAAAGACAGTTCTAGTGATTATATAGTAATACAGTGTGGCATACCCCGAGGTACAGTTGTGGGGCCGATGCTTTCTCGATCTACATAATTGACCTCTGTATAATCCAAAGTGAAGGAAGAATAATCAGTTTCACCGATGACACTGCCGTCTTTTACAAAGATGAAACTTGGACTGAATTGAAATGTGAAGTGGAAAATGACTTTTCTATGATCAAAGATTATTTTAATCATCGACTCATGACCATAAACATCGACAAAATATTCTTCATCCCTTTTACGATCTATGAAACCAACAAGCCAAATTTTCAAATTTTTTTACTAAAAAGTGATCTAAAAATATATTCGATAAAGCAAATGAAGGCCTTGAGACCAATCAGTCTCATGTCATTAGCGTTAAAAACGTTAGAAAAACTACTTGACAGGCATATCAGGGACGTATCACTGGCTATCAGACCATTACATCGAAACCAATATGCATACAGGTCAGGTAACAGAAAGAGTAGAACATAAGAAAAAACATAACATAAGAAAAACAAAGAAGTACTTTTAGCTGCTTTCTGGATATTGAGGGCGCATTTGACAATACGTCGATAGAATCGATCATCCAGGCGTCGAGGAGGGATCGACCAGACAAGCTGTTGGTGGATAGACTGCATGCTTAGGAAAAGATTGGTATATACAACCAGTATGGGGGGAAACAGTCGTGGCACGGGTAGCAAGGGAATGTCCTCAGGGGGAGCTATTATGTCTCCTGGACCACAATGGGTATAAAGCACCAGGCTATGCAGACGACTTAGTCATCTTAGTCTAGGGGAAATACAATAATGTAGTGAAGGGATGCATATGCAGCAGGCCCTGAATATTATAACAAGATGGACCGAAGAAGAAGGGCTGAACTTAAGCCCATCAAAATCGACCATAGTAGCATTCACCTAAAACGGATCGTCTCGGACCTCTAAAACTTCGAGGTGAAGTAATACAAGGGTCGGGAGAGGTTGAATATCTGGGAGTAATTCTAGATTCCAAACTGACCTGGAACCAATACTTGGACAGGATAAAAAGGAAAGCGGAGGTAGCACTGATGCTCGCCAGATGTACCCATGGAAAAACATGGGGACTGAAACCAGACATGGTAAATTGGCTATAAATGATGGTGGTTAAAACCATGATAACTTAGGCATCTCTGGTCTGGTGGCCAAAGATAAAGCAGGCGACCGCTATCAACAAACTAGGAAAGGTGCAAAGACTTGCATGTTTGGAAATGACGGGAACAATGAGAACTACCCCAACAGCTGCATTGAAGACAGTCCTGAATCTACCTCCTTTATACTTTGTGATAATGGGGGAGGCCCGGATGGACCAATTCATACTGGAAAAGTCACTGAACTACAAAAGATCGGACCGAACAAAAATTTCGAAACATGTGGAGGAGCACATATTGAATATGTGCACGGACCAGATGACACCGAAGTACACCTTTAACACAAACTTCACGGCCAAAATCATAAGCCGTGAAGAGTGGACGACCATTAGTCATCCCGAAAACATGTTTGGAAAAAACACCTGGTATACAGATGGATCGAAGACCAAACATGGAACGGGAGCGAGTTTGCTGAGCAGATAAAAATTTAGACTACAGTTGCGTCTTTCAGGCGGAAGTGTATGCTATCTTGCAGTGTACAAGGCTTATTAAACTGAGACCTCAAAGAAATGAGCGGGTCAATATTTTAACAGACAGCAAGAGCGCACTAGGGGCTCTGACAAACCCGAAGGTGACATCAAAACTGGTCTGGGAATGCCATGAAGCACTGAATGAACTTGCAAACAGGAACAAATTAACTTTGTACTGGGTGCCAGGGCATTCAGGAATCACAAGTAATGATGAAGCTGATGAATGCGCTAGACACGGATCATCAACTTCATATATAGGTCCTGAACCAGCTCTGGGGGTACCAAAATTATTGGTACAAAACCAGATTAGGACATGGACCAATAAGAAGCAAACAGAGTACTGGACAAAAGTATCTGACAACAAACACAGTAGAACCTTCAATAGAAAACCGTCCGAGAAAAGAACCGAAAAACTACTTCAATATAGTAGGGATCGGCTCAGAATAATCACAGGGTTACTAACCGGTCATTGTCCGCTTATAGGACACCTGAATAAAATAGGGCTGTACAACGAAGACCTCAGCTGCAGATTATGCAACAAAGGGATAGAAATAGCTCTACACATCTTATGAGAGTGTGGGGCACTGAATCACAGGAGGCAGGCAATATGGACGTACAAAAATACGTCCAGAAGAATATGACGAACATCCATCACGCAACCTTTACAAACTAGTACAGGGAACGAGACTGATGGAATGGGTGTCATGAGAAGTTGGGAGAACAAACGCAATAAGTATAAGAGGCTGCAGTGTTTTCTGGAGACTTGGACTGAATGGACAAGTCAGACAGCTCCCAAGGAACCAAAAAAAAAACAAATGAAATATTGAAGAATAATGATTGACATCCACCTCCGTTGGGATAGACATGTAAACTTTGTTTTGAAAACACTGCGCATTGTGCTCTACAAATTCAAATTAATGAATAACATATTGAGCCTCAAACAGAAAAATATTATTTACTTCAGTTTGATGGAGAACCACCTCACTTATGGACTTCTCGTATGGGGAGGAATATCCAAAACTCATCTCCATCCATTATAAGTTATGCAGATGCCTTTTCTCAAACTTATTCTGTTGAAAGATTTGAGATTTCTAATTGATCGTCTTCATCAAGAAAGCGGCATGTTAGACAACTTTATTTCAAAAATAGCAACATCAGGCAACACCAAAATAGGAAAGACCTAATATGTTTTCTTTCTTTATTTAGAAACATATTAAGTTACTGAAAATTGTATACATTTCCTATGATTTATGATCAACCTCACTAACAAGTGAACACCTCAGTGAGTAAGTCATTGTGTTTATTTTGTCTTGTAAATATTTGTTCTGTACTGATTTTACTTGTATTGGCGAAATAAATGTTATTCCATTCTACTCTATTTGAACTTAAGAGGAAAATTTCAGATGTTTATCGGCGATACTACAATAATATACATTGAAGGAAGTTGACATGAACATGATTATAATAGGATGGATGAGCTTAATATAATAACGTAATGTGCAACAGAAAAAATGGACACATATACAAATTTTCTTTGGTTTATACAATGATAAGAAATACCTACTTTCATTCAGTGAAAAAGTACGCGTAACATTAAAGTTGGAATTTTGAATTCAATACTAGAAAATAAATAGTTCGAAGTAAAATATCGGAATATTCATCTTTCCTAAGTACCTACACCGTAGGTTTTGGTACTTTCCCGGCTAACAGCACGCTGGATTATGTCCGACAGACATTTATACAAGGTACCTCACAGAGGTTAGCCTCGCAGATGTTTCTCGTTGATCCAGCAGCCGAACCATGCTGAAATCAGTCGAGTAGATCACCTAAAGACCGGTTTCGTGGTACTACCTCTCATCATCAGTGCAGGAAAGATCTGATCCAAACAGCGAAGTGCGTGGGACTCGATTAATTTCAATTTGGCTCAACTGCATGTATGAAACCTTGTCCAAGAGACACATCCCGAAACGTAGTATTAGCCGGGAAAGTAGTTGTTTTTCGGTAGGCATTTACCAAAACCTACGGTGTAGATAGTTGGGAGAGATGAATATCTCTCCCAACTATATCAACAAAAAATTCAGAACAAATATGGGACAAAAATCAGTAAAAAAATAATGGTATAGAATATTATGATAAATTACATTTGAAAAATTTCCCAAGTTTTTCTATTTACTGATCTCTTAGTTTTACTCTACATTCAAGCTAGACATTTTCCTTTTCAAAAAATTGAGAAAGACAAACATGATCTGACCAGCATTCGAAATTAAGACAAACAAACACCAAAGAGTTTAACGAACTACAACTGAAAACTTCAACTTTTCAACTCACTGATAACATAAGTTCAATAGATTTTTCGTTTTGCGTGGTATTTTTGTCGCGGGATCGATGATTTCTTTGTAAATATACTGGCAAAAGCCATACTTCACGTATGATTAGGGAAAAACATTCTTCAGAAGGTATTTTTTTTATAAATGCCGACTGTATTAGATAGATGTTCTTCTTGAAATACAAATACTACTTGTGAATGTGATTGTATTATCAACGTGTGCTAATGTTATATTAATAATATTGTGATTCAATGTCGTGGATAATTTAAGATATGAAACATTTGACCAAGGGGTGAAAATCTGAAAAAAATCACTGCTATCCTGATGGAAGATCTTTCAATAAAAACGTAAATCTAGTCTTCTGAATGATTTCTGCGGACATTTTTCACTACCCTACAGTTTATCTAAAAATCAGGGAAATATCTGTTATGCTCAAACAAAAGACCTGGTAATCAAATGGTCACCATTTCCACAATTCCTTTCGTGAAAACTTCATAACAATCACATCTAACAAGCCAGGTTAAACGATAACACTGAAACTACTCGTAATTGCAACAATTAGCAGAACTCGTTCGATACCAAACTCCAATTAATAAAGAACAAGGCCACAGATAAATTACACTATGAACCATCCAAACACTGTGAAAAAAATTACCAGATGCGCGGATCGCGTTTTCAAAACACAACAATAGTTTTCCTAGAAGAATTCACAGCGAAAAACACGAGAATGTCTACGAAAATAAGCGCTATTACTGGAGAAGCACTTTGTGTTTATGGAAATTGTTTTTTTACCGGGGATTTCGGCGAGATCAGAGCGACTCCGTTCGTGGTTTGGCGTAAACTAACTTGCGTTCGTCCGAGTGGAATTGCTAGAATGAAAACTATATACTAATGTAAGTAAACTCAACTTTGAGCACTACCTAACCGGGCGTGTGGAGGTGGATATTCGCTAATACTATTCTTTTTTCGGTTTAACATATATTTGTCAACGGGTCGTCAGTAATTTTATTCCAAGTTTTTTTTTGTAGTCTACTTCACAAGCGCTACTTCGCAAAATTTTAGTTCACGATCACAGAAAATTAGAATCGAGGTATTATTCGAATCGTGGTTTCACTCCTGATTCAGGATTTATACCAAGGTGCGTGAACGAATGGTATAAACAAGTTACAAACAATTCAGTTGAATAAAAGGAGAACTATCAGTTTTTGCGTATGTCTCAAAATCTACTGATCATATTCAAAATATAAAAACAAATTTTGAAAAAGAGGAAATTTTCTTGAAGAAGCCCTTTAGTACATTCGCTATTGTCTAATAGTAACATAATTTCAAGAACCCAAACATGCCGGTACATCAAAGAAAGCAACATAGTCGTCTCAAACAAGTGGCACTGCAATTCATTCACAAAGTCACTGAGATATTTCTACTCGTTATGCCCCTTGAGGACGCCTCTAACGAGCCATTAAAATAGTGCGACAAGAGGCGGTCGACACTTTTTCTCATATTGCGTCGAAGATAGTATTAATAGGCGTCCTATGATGCGAAGATAATTGAAATATCGTGAAAACTGATTTTGTTTGAATATTTTATTTTGAGAAAAACAATATTTGAAATGATTTTTTATTTGGGATTGTTACCTTCTATAGACCTATGAAATAATCAGAATATTGAATTCAAAAATACATACAAATGTAGAAAGGGCATTGAATTATTGCATATGATTTTGTCAGTGACTTAAAATTATGAATATTAGAATATTGCAATAAATATGTATCATCTGGTGACGTTTTAAAGGCTACCCACATTTTCTTTATTCAACCTGTTCAAATCAAAATATTATCATCTTTCGATGTAAATTAATTTGATATTATTATTTTTATTATATCTTTCATAATCTAGTTATTCTTATATCAGGAAAAACACTGTCTTCAGGAATAACCGACAAAACTTTATTTAACGTAGATATTTCGTTTTTTATGTAAAAAATGTACTGTTCTCATAATAGAAATCTTGACTTCTAAATTTTTTGTTTTCCTTGATTTCCTTAGGGATTCTAATAGAAATCGAGGAATGCGGGGATGGTTATCGCCGTCGTGTTCATCTGTTTAAAATGTGGCGTTCCTGAACAAGTACTAATAGTAATAACGGTGTGTGATAACAACGCAGACTTTTTCCAGTGTAGTGATTCCAATAACGATGGTGAACAATGTGAAAAAGATATACCAGTGAATAAGATTCGGATACATTCGAATACTGAAACACAGAGAGTATGTTTCAATGTATATAAGAATCTACATCTCAAGTTTGGTTTCGAGGAAAACAAACTATTACAAACATCAGATTTGACCGAAATTCCTTTCTCAACTGTACGTAAAATAGTCAAAACGCATGAACGCAAGACGCGATGTGACAAAACTTTTCAGAATTGGATAAAGAAACTAAGATTTAGATTTAAAATAATAAACAAACGTCAAGCAGTTACGGAAAGCAGAAGAATGGTGGAATTGCATAACAAATACTTAGAACAAATAAATAAATATAGACAAGAACAACGGCAAATTTTCTATTTGGATAAAACTTGGTATGATACTCACGACATAATTACGAAAGGGTGGACTGATGGTTCAATAATGTGTACGGCTAACATGCCTGCAAACAAAGGATCGCGAGGAAGTAAAAGATGGGTTCGGAATTTTTTGAAATTATTTGGAAAAAAACTTGAGGATTGCAATGTTGACTGTCATAAGAACATGGAAGCTAATATTTTTGACGAATGGTTTGAAAACACATTGATCAAAAATTCCGATGGGAATAGTGAAACTAGTTCTTGACAACGTTTTCTATCATTCTCGACAGTTCATCAAAGTACCGAATGAAAATTCAAGGAAAAATGAAATACAAAGTTTTTTAATGGATAATAATTTGTATTTCGAAGATCGCTATACCAAAAAACAACTTGAAGTTTTGCAGACAAAAACATTCGAAAAAGGGTATGCCCTTGAGAGTATTGCTGAAAAGTATAGACACACCATACTGAGACTTCCCCCCTATTTATGTGTTTTCAATCCCATTGAGTTGATTTGGGGAAAATTGAAACAAAGCATCAGACGTGAAAATAATTTTCCAAAATTTGATAATAGATATTAATAGAAGATAATAGAGCTAATTGAAGAAGAAGTATCTAATATTACCGAAGAAGACTGGCAGAGAAGAAATGGACATATTTTCACCTTTGTCGTAGTTGATCTGTTATTTTCTTTGTTATGAATGAGATTTTTCAAGAATAAATTTTGTAGATTCATTTATTCAATTCGTTGAGAGTAAATAAATGATTTGAATGCACTACGCCTATAGTATTAATATGTATAGATATATTGCTGTAGATTCTCTCATTTCTGAACAAACTATAGCTCCCGGAGCTATAGCATCAGTACTTATAAATTCGATTGTGCGGTAAGATTACGAGTAAAAACGAGTGATTCGGCTCGCGCATGCATGACTAACGAAAAAAATCGTTATTAAAAAATTTCATTTCATAAAACGCTATTGTTAATCAACTTTTATTTATATCTGCCAGAAAATAGTGACATTGAGGAACCATGTTTCAAATTGAATTGAATTTTGGAACTTCTATTTCTTTAAGAGAAAACAACAATGCAACTTTTGAAAAAAAAATCTGGCTTTTCACTTCTCTGCATCTTCATACCAAACGAAGGAAGAAACCAATTGGAGTTCAAAATAAACTATTTACATAGGTATGTATGTATATCATGTAAAGAAGTTACTTTAAGATAAAAACTGGAAGAAAAAGCCCTCCTGTAACAACTACTTTCACATGAACATTGCATCACACGAAAGAAAAAGTACTTTAGAAAAAACTACTTTCATATGAATATTGGATTATACAAAAATTATTTTTAACTTTTCAGTGTGTACTCTAAACATTCTTTATGGAGCTGAATCAGATATCATTCACAGGAACGCTACACAATATAGCACGCCCTATAAGAATAAGGTGAATTTTCATTTCTCTCAAAAAAATTTTGTTTTTCATCAATTTCTAATTCGTTCCCTTCAAAGTAGATTTTGGCTTTTTAATTCCCCATCGTTATACAAAAAAAATATATCTTTTTGAGATGGTAGGAGGTGGAAATTACAAAAAAAAAAACAATAAAAAATGTTGTTTTTCGGTGCGCGCCCAGCTAACCAACTCAGCATCTCCTGATGAAGCTAACTTGATTAGCAATAGGGAATTGACACTGTTTTTCATATATCAAGTTTTCCTTCTTCAACTACATTTTTATCACTTCCACATACTTGTAAAAGATAAAAGTGTTTTGTCCATAATTTCTATTTGGATTTTCCTATCAATTGCATTACAACAATTTTTCAAAGTATGCTTTTTTTGGTTAAAATTATTTCCCCTATATCTGTTTGTGTTTCTTTGATTTCATTCGAGTATTTTTTCACAATTAATGTTAGAATTTTCCTGTTGTCTCAGTAAATAAAATGTCACTGACCCTCAAAGTGTCTGTTTTCTGGATCTCGAATTTTAAATCAACATGTGTGCTAAATTGGAAGTCATGATGATATATACTGGCAGAGAAGTTTCACGTCTCCGTTCTGAAAAATAACCTAAAGATAAAAATTAGCTATATCGGTAATGAATTTCAGTAGTCTCAAATAGACGGTCTACTAGTATGTGAATGTAAACTGTTTTGAAAGAGTGTTCAATGAAGGCATTGACTTCAACAACAAATTTTGGATTTATTTGATGCTATTGCCAAAAAAATTTCGAAACTGAAGTAGAATTGAAAATATATAATGATGACCTTGAATTCGACTTTCACAAGAAATAATAGGTTTATGTTATGCACTGGCACTGACATATGGTGATTGTGATCTGAGTCAGAAAAATGCTTACAAATGGTGTTTTACAGAAGGTCGAGAAGATGTGAATGACGACGGTCGCCCTGGACGCTCAAACACATCAACAACCGATTGTTGTCTTTGTTGAATGACGTCAACGGCAATCCAGATTTACTTAAAAGGGTTATAACAAGTGACGAATCATGGATATATGGTTATAATATCGAAACCAGAGTCCAATCGTCCAAATGGAGTAGCCCAGTAAAAGCAGGCCAAGTTCGATCGAAGGTTTTGCTCAGTGTTTCATTCGATTACCGTGGCGTAGTGCAACAGGAGTTCTTGCCACATGGTCATACGATCATAAGGAGTAGGTATTATCTTGAAGTTATGCGCCAATTGCGAGATGGAATACGAAAAAAGCGTTCGGTATAGTGGAAAAACAATTCATGACTTTTGCATCACGAAAATGCACCTGCTCACACGTCATTGCTTGGTAGTGATTTTTTGGCCATAAACAACACCGTAATCATGCCTAAGCCACCGTAATTTTGCGACGACTGAGGAGATAAAAACCGAATCGCTGAGAGAGAGAGAGAGAGAAAAATTGAAACACTTTGTATTTGATGTGCACATGCCTTTTGGTTCAGGTCGCGAATTTGCATTCGCATCTGCTCTTCCACAAATGCCGAAAATGTATAAAAATAAAATATTTTACTAGGGTTTGAAGAGAAAAAAAGAAGAAAGAAAAAAAAAGAAAAGAGAATGTAATTTATAGATACAGAGATAAATGAATAGCTAAAACCTTTCTCAGGATTCTCGCCGCGGACCTAGTTATTCTGAATGCTGAACAGATGCTGTTTAAACATACTTTTAAAACAGTTTCTGACATGTTAAAACAATTGTTTTCCCATTTGTGGAAATAATTTATTGTGGAGGAGATATTATAGAAAAAAGATCGTTTGAATATTTCCTTTTTATGTACAGGAATGTTTAACA